CAACTTGTTTGGTCCCCTTCCCCTGATTCCCCAGCGCTGTTCCACTCTCTCAATTCCCTAATAAAATCTTTAAAAAAAAAAAAAAAAAAAAGTTTGAGAACTGTTATGTTACTGAGATAAGGAAATAATCACTCTAAAACATTCATTGCTGTGAAGAATATATTAGTACAATTTCTATTGAGAAATTTTGACTGGCTTCAGTTAAGTTAAAGCACAAGAGCAGTTTCTACCATATAGCAACTCAAGGTTTTAGCTATTGTAATTAGCAAACTTTAAAATGTACAAACTTTTAAATGCTTTTGGTAGGATTTTTTTTTTTAAGATTTTTGTTGTTGTTTAAATTGGGGAATCAGGCGAAGAGGAACAGACAAGTTGCTGTCCTTTTGTTCTTCAGTCTAGCTGTGGAGGACGTCGCTTCACTGGCCCATGTTGGTATTATCATTGCACTCTTCCCGGCTGAGGCAGTCGCTCGCTGGCCATGGGATGGCCTCTACCAGAGACTCACTCAGGCCAACTGCTGGCCAGCCTCACTGCAGCCTATGCTGTTGCCGGCAACTCGAAGCAGCCTAGCTCCAGGTCAAGCTGTTGTTCACCATCTTAGCTGTAGAGGGCGCAGCATCACTGGCCCTTGCGTGGGATCTAAACCAGGGCCCAGCTGCTCAGAGCTGGCATCCCAAGCCAACTCTTAACCAACACGCCATTAGTTGGTCTGAAGGCTGTAGGTTATTGTTAAGCAGCATTGTTCTTAAAGCAAAAAAAAGGACAACCTGTCTCTTTGGAGAATTGGTTAAATTATGTTCAATATAGGCAGATACTATTTGAATGTGGAAGCTCTGGTGTACTAAGAACAATTGCTAAAATGAGAATAAGCAGTATATATAGTAAGCTTCCATTTGTATTAATATGTACACATATATGTATGATTATGCCTGTCTCTCTTGAAGGATAAATTTTTGCATTATTGGGGTTTCCTCCTAGGAGAACCAGGTAGCTCCAAAGTAAGGATATAAACTGTCTACTACATAGCCTTTTTACATTTTGTGCTGTTAAGGTATCACCTACTTTTTAAAGAAAAGGTTTTCATAAACATACCAAGTACTGGCTGGTCTGGGATAGAACCTAATTCTTAGTCCTATTTCAGTGCTTTCCAACATAACCATTCCTTGAAGTCACCTAAGTCTTGAAAGCAGTCACAAAAATTTGCAAAAAGTGACAAGGAACCTGATAGGTCTGCCTCATTGGTCTAGCTTAGATTTAGAAATCCTTAAAGAAACAGACTTTAACTCCATTTCAATTTTAGAAACTCCTATTTAACTTCTCCATACTAGATGTTGTTTTAAATACTTTCTCTCATTTAGTCATTAACACTATCAAGTAGGTATTAACCCTGTATTACAAATGGGGAAAAATAAGCTCAGAGGTCTTCATGCAGACATGTTATTTGGTAGAGATAGGGAACTGGGATCCAGACCTAGATGTCTCTAAAATATATTACCCTTAATTTTTTAGTGTTGTCACCAAATACCAGGAAAAAAGTTTTCATTTTATGACCAGCAAAAACTACTGGGATGCTTGAGTCCATTTGCTCTGTTAATTATGCTAATACCTCACTTCCAATTAAAAACTTTGGTATTTCCTGTTTTTAAGAAGTGAAATCCTTGTCAAGTATTTATTCCAAATATCACGTAAGATAGACAAAGCAGGCTCCCATGGTTGGGTAATTTTTGGCTTCTATTTTAAAACTTAGGAAACCAACAGTCAGGTTTAACTATAAAAACTATCAATAGGTTTCTTCTATAATTCTAATAACTTGTTATCAAAATTCAAATACAAGCAACTGCTTCCTCAAATGATCATTTCTCAAATTAACTGCTTTCTCCCATAAATACAAACCCTAGTGAAATTTAGCCTGTCATGGAAGATCACAATAACCACTGTGATCAAATGCTTTGGTTAATTACCCAGAATTCTAAAGGGTTAAGACTGCACTAATTTTTAAGATTTAGCTCACAATTTACTGTGGTAGTCTATATGGAACTAGTTCATAATCAACAGAAAATTTAAACCTTGTTACTAATGATGTTTTTAAAAGTTTGTGTTTAGATATGGCTTCATTCTACAAGTTCCTGTGCCTCAAAGAAAGTTTCCATCAAAGTAGTGTCAGTTAAAAAAAAAAAAAAAACCAACCAACCTGAGGGGCCGTTAGCTAATAAATGAACAGAAGTGTCAATAACTTATTTTGTAAAACTACATAAAGTTTTGAAGTTCATTCAATTCCAGATTTGATTTTTAAATAACACTTTGGAAATATGAAGATGGGCACATCTGAATTTCTTTTAACCAAACATTTACCAACTCAAGTGTGTCTAAGAACAATTAGGCAAATACAAAAAAAACTGACATGGTCCCAGACCAGAAGTGTTTTTTAAAGTAAAAATTAACTTAGCATATTAAGACAAAGACAATAGACATAATATACATAATTTTATTACAAAATCTTTTTAAAAAACAAAATGCAACATTCTAGAAAACCCAAAATTTACTATTGATACTAATTCCTGTTTGCTGTACTACCATACACAAGAAATTCAAGAAACCATTAAATATTTAGAAACATTTAACATCAGAAGCCTTAAAATCTAACTATGTAGTAGCCCCTCAACAAGCTACAACCAACCTGCATTTTTTTGAAAAAGTATTTTCTCTACAATCTTATCAGCTATACAAAAATCTGTACAGTTTTTACACTGAAGCTAATATTGAGCTGCACTTGAATTCACATTCTTAGCAAAACAATTGCCTGAGCATACACACACACTCCACACACATCATTAACAGAACAGCCATTTATTCTTCATCTTCCTCGTCTTCCTCGTCGTCATCATCTTCCTCGTCTTCCTCCTCCTCCTCATCTGGTTCATTCTTCTTCTTTGAGCCTGTTGGCCTGCCAGGGCCCTTCTTTCCTGCTTCACTTTTGCCCTTGGCGCGGTATGCGGCAATATCCTGAAATATTGTCAAGAAAATAAAATCAGCATCCGGTGTCATTTCTCAACTGTAAAAACCACGAAGTTGTAAACAATCTAAGATTCTTGACCAATAACCCTGGTGACTGTCTAAAAAAGTTATTCAGAGTCTTAGTTTTGAGAGCCTTTGTTCTCTCTCGGCTTCAAAAAGCTAATGATGTATAATGACGGGGTGGTATATTAGATCAATGTCAGCACTTTCACTACCAACATTCATTTACCTCACATAGCTCCCCCTCTAACGTCACATTTCAGACATACATAAAACAACACAGTGGGCCCTCCATTTTTTTTCAAACTTACAGGCCTATATAACCACAAATGAGAGTCTATGTGAAGGAACCTACTAGTGTTCCAAACACTGGTCTCAGTCAAAAGAAAGGAGGCTTCAATTAGCATGTATTGCTTAAGTATACACTTTTCATTAGGCCTTTTCAAAACACAGCCAACAACCATTAATATAAGATTATCTATACTTCCCTACAGTTTGTATCTATGTCTAACATACTTATTTTTAAAACATCTACCTAATTTCAACCCTGCCTTTAAAAAGGTAAAAAGTATACCTTTTCATATTTCTCCTTTAGCTTGGCTGCTTTCTGTTCATATGGTTGCTTATCTTTGGCTGACTGTTCAGACCACATTTCACCCAATTTTTTTGCAGTATCCCCAATGGATAAGCCAGGGTGTTCACTTTTGATCTTTGGGCGATGTTCAGAGCAAAACAGGAAGAAGGCAGATCTGAAAGGAAACAAGAGAGTTAATAAACTCAATGAAAAAACAAACAAACAAACAAAAAATCAAGGGGCAACTTGAGTGATTAAAAAAAAAAAAAAAGTCTTACGGAGGCCTTTTAGGAGCATTGGGATCTTTCTTCTTTCCTTTCTTATCACCTTTGGGAGGAACGTAATTTTTCATCTCCCTGTCATAGCGAGCTTTATCACTTTTTGCCAAATCTTCGAACTTTGACTTTTCCTTTGCAGACATAGTCTGTGGGCATGAAAGGATCAGTGAAAATACAGCAAAACTGTAAGCTATAGATTATATATATATATATATATATCCAAAAAAGATCTAGATCTTTAAGGGCCACATTTTCCGTGGTTAACACCATTTTACTTCAGTAGTCTTAAAATAGAAACCTGAAGTAGTTTGCCTAAAACTGAATATTTGGACGAGTCCTCAGGGTAGGCGATTTGAAAGTTACAAGTCACCTGCCTGCTCCAGGCCCTCGTCCCCAAACACAACCTGAAAACCCTTGGCTCTGTCTTCATTCCTCTCACCTTCCATCTCTCCGAACATTTCTTGGAGAATTCGGCAAAATTGACGGAAGAGTCTGGGTGTTTCTTCTTGTGCTCTTCCCGGCAGGTTTGCACGAAGAAGGCATACGAGGACATCTTGCCCCTCGGCTTGTTGGGGTCTCCTTTACCCATGGTGACAGACAGCGTCTACCTGGCGGGGCGAAAGCCGGTGGGTGGGCGCCGGCGGGGCTCGGCTTCCCGCCCAAATCCGCACCCGCCCGTGCGCCCCCCTTCGCGAGGCCGGCAGCTAGAGCCCGGCTCCGTCGCCGGTCCGCCTGCTCGCCCCGGGGCCCGGGCGACGCTGCCCCCGGGCCCAACTCGAGCAGTCCCAGCCGAGTCTCCTTCCGCGCGATCACCACGTCCCTCCCGGAGGTCACGAGTCGCCGCCGCCGCCCGCCCCCAACTCCGGGCGGAGGAAGGGAACGCCGCGGGCGCCCTCGAAACCCCTCTCCTGACAGAAACGTCCCCCCGGCTTCCATGTTGCGAGCCCCACTCAGTTGTCGCCTCCTGACCACATTAAAAAAACTACCGGAACCAAGCCCGGGCAAGCTTCCCGCGCTCCACAGCCCCTGGCTCTCACCGGCCCACACCCCAGATTCCGCTCGCCGGGGAGTGCCCCGAGAACCACAGCGCCCAGTTAAGCTAGAAAGCTAACGAGGGGAGGGAACAGCGGGCCCACGAACACGAGGGGGGCGAAGGGGATTCTTGCCTGGGGGTAGCTTTTCCTCAGTGTTCCGCAGAACAGCAGGACTCCACAGGCGCTGCCTTCGCTCGGCTCCGGCGTGAACTGGTTTATCGCTAACGCAATCCTCAGCCTCTTGTTTTGCAGAGTTCTCCGCGCCACGGCAACTTGACGAGCCGACCCACAGGCCACACCTGCGCCTCTCTGATTGGGTCTGGTGATTATTCAAACTCTGATAGGTCCCGCCCCCTCTCCTTGGAGGCTTCCGATTGGTCTGTGTCTCTCCGGGCCCTTCCCTCCATCCCCAGCCTAGCAGGTTCGGTGGGTCGCCCAGGTCGTTAACTCCCAGACCCGTTAGAACCGGTCAGGAGAGGAATGTACTGCTCGAACCTGATTGGCGGCAGGAAGAGGGTTTGAAAAATGGCGGGCCTGACGCTGACTGGCTAGGCCAGTAAACGGGGGGAGTGGTTGGCCCCAAAGGGAAAGCCCCGCCAGATTTAAAACTACCAAGTAACGAGATTGGGGGCGGGGGGTCGTTCTCAAGGAATTGGCGGCGACGACTTGGTTTGCTGGCGCTGAGGTAATATAAGCGGCCTGCCCTGCCCTGCCCCTGCTCCGACCGCTGTCCAGGGCCTGTTTCTTCTCTGCCCGGTCCAAAGAATAATAAATAAGGAGAGACTGGGGAGCTTGCCCTGCGGACCGATTGCCTGGCTCCGCCCGTTGCCGCAGAGGTCGGGGTGGAACCCGAGGAAGACACAAGGTGGCGGGGAGCCTGGGCAAGGGCTCGGGGGTCGCCGGACGGCAGCTGTTCCCGCCTCTCGAGGGGGTGTTACAAACAGACTTTAAAGTAAGGCGCCTTCCGCCGGTGGACCTTCCCTTAAGGGGTTCCTCCCTCCCCCCCCCCTCCCTTACCCCTTTGTCTCGGGTGTCAAATACAGAGACGTAAACAAGGGCGCCTTCGGCGTCCAGAAGGGGCGGAGGCGAGCGACCTCTCCCATGGCCACACCCCCTCTGTCCGGGTCGGGATTCCTGGCGCTGACCGCCTCGCCGGGCTCCCCTCCACCCAAGCTACGCGCTGAGTGGTCGAAGCCCTGGCGACCTCCCCACCTTTGGCTGGCCTAGCTGTCACCTTGTTATTCCGTCTTGTCCCTCCATGCAATAGTTTTTAAAAGCTTTCAATATCGAAGATCCATTTGATACTCCCATGAAAGCAATGTGGCTGCTCCCTTCCCACAATTGCATCTATTCACCAAACAGCCTGCTACGGTATTTTACAGACTCCTCCAAGCCAGGTTAACTTCGTTTTAGTATCTAGTGAGAGGGCACCAAAACTACCTTAACTTTCTAGCGCCACAAGCTGCTTTTCCAAGGATAGGAGGACATTCACTGACAGTTTGCTATTTCTGTGCTGTATTTAGTTTCGAAGGCTATTTTTTCCTGTTGGCCCGTATGTTGCATGGACAGTTGGTTTCAACAGATTTTAAATAGTCTGTCTTGTTTTCTCAGTAAGTTCACTAGCATTTGTTAGACTGTGTGCCCCTATTTGGTTTGTATACGATAATCATACTCAGTGGAATCTCAGAACCAGCAGCTATTTGTCTAGGTTTATTCATAAAAACTAGGTTTTAAAATGTATTTTCCTTGGAAATGGATATTAGTTGCACAATGTTAAGCATGTACTTAAACTGAATTTAAAAATTAATTTGAAAGGTGTGCACTGGTGATCTGTTTATTGTTATTTGAATAATGTGGTATGATTTATTTTGTCAATTTGGGTTTTTTTTTTATAGCACAGTTGTAATTAACCTTATTTGAGAATAGGGTCGTTGCAGATGTGATTAAGATAAGTTCATACAGGAGCTGGGTGAAACCCTAATCCAATGTGACTGGTGTCCTTGTAAAAAAGGGAAAATTTGGACAGAGACAGGCATGGAGGTAAGATGGTATGACAAGACACACCAAGAAGGTGGTCATCTACAAGATAAAGAGAAAGACCTGGAATAGATCTTGCCCTTACAGCCTGCAGAACGAGCCAACTCTGCCAACACCAATTTACATTTTTTACTCCATCACAGTAGAGAACAGCAAAACGTTTCTATATTTTATTAATTTACTTTTACCACTGATGCCAAGACATCATTCTCATGCTGTATTTACTTCCTGATCTAGAAGTGACATTGAGATGCACGGTGAAGTGATACAAGAAATAAGGTTTAAGTGAGCAATTGACAGTTGGTGACAGAACAATCCCTTTTATTTTTTTTTTGAGTAAAAACTATACAGAATCTGGTTGCACACACAAAGAAATGTAGTCCCAAATGTAGTTCTGAAAAGATGAATTAAATACACAAGAGACCTAGTTCACTATTTTGAACTATTGGGTCGTCGGGAAAGTCATACTGTATTTTTCTATGTTTTTCAATGCAAAAATGTGTCATGACTTTCCCGACCACCCAATACTTGGCATACTATTATGACTATCAGAAAAGTGAAATGTCCTATAAAGGTGTTTTTTAGTGTGTTTCTAATCTTGTTATGGTTCTAAATGGGAATGTAAGATTGTGTTTCTGAAACTCAATTTTAAAGCCATGTCTTTTCAGAAACATCAATTTCATATATTCTAAAAATTATTTTCCAGATTTATTCTTATTAGAATGATGCATCTTTCTAAAAGATGATAAAAAGAAAAGTTTATGTTCTTCATTAAAAAAAAGTATAAATTAAAATCCAGCAAGGGCTTGTGATTTTGAACACTACACCTAATATTTCTAGGCTTTTGATTAACAAACGAAAATGACATTTGTGGGATAATCTCTAAGCTACCATTCAGCTTTTAAGTTGTATGATTCTATAATTCTGTGAATATGTGATCATAATGTGGGGAAATAAACATTTTAAACTTTGCAGTTGTTAGGTGGTCAAGAGATTATAGTTAAAATTTAAAAAGATAACTTGGGTTCTAGGAAATTCTTTGTTTATGATTACCAGTTAGTTGTGAGCCCAGTTACTTCAAAACAGTATTTGATGAAGCAAAAGTTTATAGCTACCCAAATGTAATAAACTATATAGACCAAACTTTAGATTACACAATATTGCTCAGTCATCTTAGTCTCCTAGTAAAATGATCTTAACCAGGGTTTTTGTCCCCTAGATGATACCAATATGCCATTTTATTTGCTAAATTTTGCCTAAGTTCAGCATCTTACAAATTGTAACAACATAAATATTTAGCAATAAGCTAATTATGAGTTAGGCTTAAAGCTGTTTTCAAAGTAGGTCCCCTGTTGTACAAGGATAAATAGCTATTCTGTCCGTAAACTGGAGTTTATCAATAGCAGTGTCAACCTGGCAGGATTGTGTAGAAATGATATGGGTTGTGCTAGCTATTGAAACTCCTATAATTTATTCAATTAGTTATTCTAAGAATTTGCACTTTACATAATCTGATCATCAAACCAGACTGCAAAATCCTGAGGGAAAGAGACTATCATACATTTTTTGTAAATCTCCATACACAAAGCAGTAAATAATAAGTTTTCAATAATTATTATTTATTGATGAACTCATACAGTTAGCCAAAGTTACATAAGATTAGTTGCTTTACATAAGATTAGTTGCATATAAAATAATTATTCCCTCAAGTTGCATAATGTAAAAGCCAAAGCCATTTACTCTACACACATATTAGTTTCTCAAAGATGAAATCTTATATTGGAGATTAATATTTTCAAGTTATTTTAAAAGCAGTGACAGGGGAAGGATAAGCATATTGAAGTATTACCAAACAGGCACATCCACTTATGGGAAGATCACTGGTTCTGAGGCCTAACTCAGAGATTCAATTTAGTGATGTAGTTAAAGAATATATAATATTTTTGAAGAAATGAAAATGCAAGTTAAGAAAAAACAAAAACTTCTCATCCTGCTGCTAGTATTTTCAATGAAAAATTGTAAGAAAAGTTTAGTTTTTCTTCAAAAAAAAAAACCAGTTAACTATTTTTGTGAATCAGTATGAACTAAATCCACCAAAAAGTTATTTACTTTCTAAAAGCCTCCACTGCCACAATTAGTAAAAAAAAAAAAAAAGGACAAATTGCAAAATCCTTCATGTTTTTAAATATATTGGAGATCTGTTGAAGCAATCAGAAAATAGTTCAAACTAAAATTCCAGGCAGGGAAGAGCTTTGCCTATGTGTGCTGATGATTTGGGGGATAATTTGTAGATTTTTAGGAGTGGAACTGAGACTCAATCTGATTTGGCCCAGGTATAAGGACTTGTACTAAGGGAATGAGAATCTAGCAAGTTTTGGGCATTTGTATGGGGTTAACACAATCAGTTGGAAACTAGGGAACCAGAAAATATATATAATGATCTATATTCAACACAGTTGGGCTAAATTATCAAGTAGTATGGTGGCTAGAGAGTTGTGCCAGAAGCTTCTAAAAGACAAAGTGAAATCTAGGGTTTCATCATCCTTTTTGGACAAAAGTCTGGCTGGAGGGAAAGGGTCTTCTATAGACACATGACTGGTCTCTTCCTGAAGACATCTGCCATATTTTGTAGCTGTGTAGGGAAGAATGTGGACAGACAAGCTCAAAACCCCTAAAGAATAGAAATGAATCTTCCATAGTCTTTCAAGGCTAAGGAGACAGAGATGCCAAGACCTCAATCAAAAGCCCATGTGACAATGTCTGAGGAAGAGTGAGCCAGAGGTGAACTGGGTTTTACTAAAACTTTACACCCAGCCTGGATACATACAGCTCAATCCCTCACTGCATTTAAATAATCAACCCTTTATCATTCTACCTTTTAGAAGAGTTGATTCTGACTAATAGAGAAAAGATGGAATCCTCTCTAATAGAATAGATCGTACTAAATAATTTGAAAACTAAAGACAGAAAAAATCTTAGGAACCAAAGGGAAAAGACACTGTAAACTTTAAAAAGCAATAATAAGTCTCAATGCTGACTCTTCAACAGAACTAGGAAATTCATAGACCTTAAAATGACATCTTTAGATTACTAAAGAAAAAAACTGCTTACTTCAAATTCTGTATTCAGGGAAAAAGCTTTCAAGAATTAAGCCAAAATAAAGATGTTTTCAGACAGACAAAAGCTGAGAGAATTAATTGCCAGCAGTCCTGCTTAAGGAAAATGATCGTAAAT